GGCTGGAGCGGGGAGTAAATCAGGATTATAAGGAAAAGCGCAGATAATTGGGCAAAGAGCGGCTAGAAAATCTGGTCGCGAGCAGAGGTTAGAATGACAGAGAGAGAGAGAGAGAGAGAGAGAGAGAGAGAGAGAGAGAGAGAGAGGGCAGGGAGAGAAATTATAGACAAGAACACTTTCAATAAACAATTATTCACTTATTATGTCGCCAATTCATTCGGTTTATTTCACAAAAGTTTGTAAACGTTCTCGGGTATCGACTCTTACCATATAATATCAAATTAGTAGCGAAGTGGTATAACGCTACAAGTCAATTTTGACAATTGACCAGTTTTCAATGAATATCTCGATATCTAAGGGAGATGGCAAAATTTTTGTTATAATCTTTTTTGTAGAGCCGATTGAGAGCTACAACTGTAATTATGAAAATTTCGCAATCTCCCTTAAATTCTTTCATTCGGAAGCAAAACCTGTCATTATATTTTACTGAAAAGAATTATCATTATTTCAAATAATTGATTCTTCAGTTTTATAATTATTACATTTCATTATTATTACTATTATTCTTATAATAAAAAATCAAAAAATTATCAATTTTCTGTCAGTGGTCCGTTTTGCCCTCCTCTTCCCTACCTTATTGTTATGGTTTTAACAGGGCGGCGCTTCACTTTACTTAATATAAATCGATAGGGATTACCTGACTATGCGTTTCCCAAAGGGATCATTCAGATATCACTTCGCACGATTAGGGAAGTGGGGAAAGGGTGTCTGTAGTTTGTGGCGCTTTGCGACGAAGGGGAAGGGAGTTGCGTGAGTTGTGAGTCACATTATATTTTTCACAAAATCTCCGATGAAAACAATTTCAGAGAAAGACTGAATAGAATTTGGTTTTTGCGTAGAACTTTTTCTATTTAAATATTTTCTATAAGAATTCCTTGACATGAATTTTCTAAGTTATTTTTGACCCTATTTTTTCTCCTATCATTAAAAGAATTTGGAACATTTGAGCCCAGGAATTTCTGTAGAAAATATCTCAATAGAACATATTATATAGAAAAATAAAATTCCATTGATTTTTTCTTCAAAATATTTTCACAGCTGCAGCATTTTTAATATAATCCGAGAAAAACTGATAGAATTTTCAATAAGAATTTAGTTGAAATCAAGTAGAATTTTCGTATGTAATACCCTGGTAGGAGTAGAGGAATGGGCTAAGATTGGCCGAGGGTGACCCAATGTTGGCCATCCTCGGCGTACCCTTGGCCTTGTTTCAGTTCCTACCAGGGAACAAGAGCTTCAAAATTATCAGGTATTTCCCGATAGGTTCGTTGCAAACAAACGAAGGAGGCAAATTTTTCAACACTCGTTGCTTCCGGTCAGGAGAATCTCAGTAATTTTTAGCGCGGATCAGGTTATAAGTTACAATAGCACATCAAAAAAAGGAATGTACGAAGATATAACTGAAGGAAAAAATAACCGTTGGGTAGTAGCACATGTTCTGTGTGGTACACGACAAAATGACCGGGCACTTTTGGTAATTTTTTCTGTCTACTTATCAAAAAAGACGCTGTCGACATGTCAAAAATTTCGGAACCATGTTCGTTGAAACTTCATGTGAGTAGGAGAGGGATGGGATAGATCGACACTTTTGACTTTTTTAAAAAATATTCGTAACTCAGAAACAGATTTATCAATTGAGCTCAGTCTAAGCTCATCTCAAAGACGAATCATTGTTCTTTTTATTGAAAACTAAAATTATTCCATTTCATGAACAATTTAACACGTCATGAATATTTTTAAAAAAGTCAAAAGTGTCCATTTTACCCTACCCTCCCCTATATTAATTGTTCAGCGGATCTTATTAGTTTTTCATTGATTCCTATTGAGTTTTTGTCCACCAATAAAATGTCCCGTGATTCATGGGAGAGTTTAGTACTTTGTACCATAAAATTTTTTCCGTGTAGTCTTGAAGCCCTTTGCTTCACGAACGTCGCAAATCGTCCCGGTGTGAAAGTAGTCGGAAGCAGTGCGAAATAATGCGCCATTAGCAAAGCAGGGAGGCACACGCACACCTTTACAAAATGACGAAAAGTGAGGTACCGTGAGAGGAAGCAATGAGTTAAATCGGAAAGTCCCGGATTCAAACCCCGGTCTGGACGATCCATTTTTTTCAGTAAAAGTTTTCTTGTTATTCATATTGAGAATAATCCCGGTTCCCCTCCTACCTCATCCAAATCCTATCCAATCATTTCCTATGACGTCACAAAGATGTAGAACGCTATATAAATTGCCTTCTCTCATGTAAACTTTAATGCGATTTAATGAATTTAATTGGACAATCCGTAGTGTATCTCCTGAAATTGATCGAAAGAGAAGAAATGTGTGAATCTTATTTGTTAAAAATGCATCTTTGCCTCGGCGGTAACCCCTTTGAGAAACATAACACTCATCACCATGCAGGCAGTCAGAATATAGACATGCATAGAACGGCATATCATCACTACTTGCATTACATATAAATATATAAATTGCAAAATACAATCGTTTGACGTAACGGTTGCCGAGCCGAGCTGCTTCTCAATATTAATATTATGTCAGTTATCCGGATTGCCTGACGTGTTGGTCATAGGCGACGATAACTCTCGCCAGTCGGATCAAAAGTCCGGCAGTGTCCAATGGCGGTGGCCGTTGTCTTCGTGTCTAGCATCAACGATTTCCTCAGTCTTTCCAGATCCGCCTCAACACGATGTCCTCCTGCTTTTCTCATTTTGTTTAATCTTTTTTCCGCACCTACCCCTCCCGATGTTATCATGCACCTGTGTATTTATAGAAAATATTGCAAATTTATGACACTGCACGATTCAACAATGGCATTAGACTCCGTCATCGCGCCCACCACGCAGGGCTTTGCGAGAGAATGACTCAGGGAAGGCATGAGAAATGAAGAAATTGATGGAGAGGTAGAGTTACGCGCGTCAATAGGTACACATTTGAATTCTACAGGATGATTCTTTGACGCAAAGGGTTGTAAGACGGTCTGACGACAAAATTCCGATGTTCTGATAAATAATTAATCGTCTTATTTTTCCGAGCTTTGTCTCATACATCTTTCTCGTACTTTGATTGATGGAAGTCCATTTGCGTCATACAATTCCATTCAACATGTAAATTTTATGGAAAATTTAAAGGGGCAGTATTCAAAAAGAACACTGAATTTATAAATTTTAATGGTAAATGACAAGAAGGGCCTGGAGACGAAAAGTTGAACGGGCCAAGATTGGGCCAGTACTGGCAGCCGAGCTGCCGAGGCTTGGGTGCCGATCCTCAATCAGCCTTGGCCCAGCCTCGATTAGCTATTGGTTTGATAATGTTGGGCCGGTATTGGTTGCTAAGCGCCGGTCGATGATTGGCACCCAGGACCCACCCAATACTCATTTTTATTAATTGAAAAAATTAATTAATACATCATTTTTTTATTATTTAATGTACATTCTTCGGTTAATCCTTCCTAAAGAAACCGATAACCGCTGATAATGATGTGTGAAAAGTTGGAATCGTTGGGATTCGATCCTGGAACCTTCGGGTTGGTAGTCCTTGACTTTACCTACTCAGCCACCGTAGAGTTGTTAGTTACGAAGAAGTTTATCGGCTATATGAATAAAATATGGTATTCTTATCTGATTCTTTAATTTTCTTCAATTATGAAACTCGATATAGATATGGCAAACAGCCTATTTATTTATGATCAATAAATAATAAGATTACAGTATCAAGTTCTCGAGTTTGAACCCTTATATACCTTATGATCGTTTGACCCTTAACATCTGTTTACACGTTTTCCTGTATGACCCATTCGACCCCTATGATCATTCGACCTTTTATAAAAGCCTTCAACCCTTACAAGTACGTTTGCTATTACCCCTATTTGACCCTTATGCCTCTCGTAACCCTTGTGACACCCTTTTGACCCTTTACATTATTGCGCTCGTCTTCCCTGCTAGACTTTGATTCTAATGAGGGTTTGACCTTTGGAATTGGTTAACTTGTCTTTTCTGTTTGACCTTTGTCAAGTCTCGGCGTCCGAAGTTTACCCAATTATTGGCCGAGACTTGGTATTCGACGAATGGCCATCTGCCGTTCAGCCGACATTTGACCGTGAAAGACTCGCCGAGACTTGGCATGCCAGTCCAAACCCGATGCTTGGCCGTGAGTGGGTCGCCAAGGCTTGGCATGCCAATTCTCGGCCGATTCAACAGCATCGGCAATTCGGCCCCGGGAGGAATACCTTTTGTCCCAGTAATTTTCAAGATCCAGACCATGCACTTTCTATCTGACAGAATTAATTTTCTGCGGAACTATTGACCCCTGACCGGTTACTTTTTTCAAATCCTGACTCCCCAATCACACCACTTGTGACCTTCCAAGTGAACGTCTACTCAAACAGGAAGAATTGATGTCAAATTGAGACAAATATGGCAAACTCAAGAAATTCTTGATTCAAAATACATCCATTTGAATTTAATTAATCAACATTATGCTTAATACATGAGAGAAAGTTCTGTATATATGTATTTTTTTTATTTCCATCAAAATTACAATATGACGCATAAGAGCAGAAGCAAATCAAGTGTGAGAATCAATAAGAACATTGAAGACAGACAGTCTGCAAAGTTCACCGACATCTTCATCTTCTCATCCATACCAATACCGATTAATTCATAAAATTCCAGGAGTTGACTCTATTATCAACCCTGATCACGTATTTGTGACCAATGCTCGGTTACCCGTGGCAGTCGGTCCGCATGTGCGTCCAACTGTCTGCCTAATGAAGACCAAGAAAAGCAACGAAACAAGAGAGGATGGCAAAGAGAAGGGAAGGGAGGCACTGATCCCGTCCTATACCATCCAAGAAAAGATCCTCCCCATATTAATCACGGTGCATGGACTTGAGGTATATAAGCCATTGCAAAATTGGGGAGAATCATTGAGCTTCACTTGTCGAAGGAATCATCATAGTGCTCGAGGAAGTAGTGATGCGTAGTGTTTTTAAAGCAGACGAATTAGATTGATAACGTTCAAAGAGATTTATATTATTATTGACTAAAATGGCTTGGATTTCTTGTGGATTATTGGTGGTTGCAGCTTTCGTTGCTGTTGGAGAGACTAGGTCATTATCCAGGGAACCACGTAAGTTGAAGTTATCAGTGAAATGGGGATTATGATGAAGAATTTTCTAAATTTTAGAAATTGATTGAAATTGTATGGAAATTGTTAGCTAAAGTTATTTTGGTGATTCCCTTGCAGTTTCCATTGTGATGGATTCAAATGGCGCTCCAATACTGATGATGAGTTTAAAAAAACAACCAACTCCGTCCTATCCTCATAAAACGATGATGTTCACCGGATACTACCATCCAATTCGATCTGATCCTGGCCCATTAACTGGTGTCTTCGCTCAAGGTAATGCTGTCAGTGGCGGGTCTTATCTGGGGGGAAGGAATCCAAATTATCTCCAATCTGGCCCAGAACCGGCAGACGATACTGAGGTGTCGAGCGCAGAGGCTGAAGCCGCGCCGAATAGCGGTGATGAAGGCGAGCAGGGTTATTCAGATAGTGGGAATGATGAGGATCCGCAGCCGGCGCAGCCACAGCAGCAGGATGAAATTCAGCCGGTAAGCGATCACATGATGTCACTTGATCTGAAAAATTTGCGTGTTAAACGAGCGAATCATTGAGAAATAACCAACTTGACAATGATAATAATAACAATCATAATCAATGAGTGCTCTTTTAGAGCGATTAGGAATAGTATTTTACCGGGTTGCTGCGGTGGGATTTTTTACTCGTGCGGCGTTAGCGTCCGAGCCGAAGGCGAGGACTGACCAAGTACACGAGTAAAAAAACCCATCACAGCAGCCCGGGACAAGATCATTTTGTAGTGATTTTCAAGTTTTCGAGTTTGGGAAGAATGCAATACCAATTCCCAGACGAGAAATCGTGAGAAGTGGAAATTGCTTCAGGCCCACCTGAAGCACGATCAGAACTTGATCAGGTTTTTGTAAGGTTCGACTGATCCGGTGATTCCTGATGAGAACCTGACCAAGTTTTAATCCAGCAGACCGGCTCCAAAAAACTACAGACGGGTTCAGATCAAGTTCTGATCAGGTAGACATGATCAGATGATGCCTGATGAAAACCTGACCAAGTTCTGATCCAGCAGATCGTATCCAAAAAACTACAGGTGGATTCAGATCAAGTTCTGATCAGGTAGACATGATCAGATGATGCCTGATAAGAACCTGACCAAGTTTTGATCCAGTAGATCGGATCCGGAAAACTGCAGGATGATTCAGATCAAGTTCTGATCAGGTAGGCACGATCTCACCCTGAGGTCGGCTGCCTGACCCCAATTTGAGCAAATTCGGATTTGATGTCTTTGATCGGCATTTGAACGGGGTCAATTAAAGAGAAAATGATCAGATTCTGATCCGGTCTACCTGACATTAATTTTAATAAGTTTATCGGATAATTTAATTAACTATTATTATACTATTCAAATTAAGTTTTATCAACCATCATCAATAATTAAACAATTTTTTTCTTCTCGTATACCCTTTCGGGTTTTTACGATTTGTTCCCTTCCCACCCCCCTCAACCCCCTGTACCGCATTTGCCGAAGGGTGAGAATACCTCATGCGAGGGAAAAACCTGCCCTGGTACAGTCGTCCTTTTGACGGGACTACCGCTCGGCAGTGAAACTGTGAGATTAGAGCGCTATAAATTTTGACCGCCGGTGCCGGGAAGCGAACCCGGATCATTGGCATACGAGTCTAGCACTCTAACCGCACGGCCACTACCGTCGGTATTATCAATAATTATTTTCAATCTTTAAAAAGGATCATTATACTATAATTAAAATAAATCAAATTAAATTAATTTAATTTAATGAATTAAATTTAATTAATCAATTTAATTAACAACCAGCCCTTCTCAAATGTACAGAAGGGAGGGATGATGATGCCGTAAATACGTATTAGAGGAGTATCAAACTTACACGTACATGATCTTGAGAAAAAAAATCACCAAATGTCTATTTATACATTAGTGTTATTGTTATTATCATTATTATTATTCATTAATGAAATAAATAAAAATTAAATTGAACATATTTTATCTCTGAGAATACACTGCAATGTACAGTTTACTCAATAGTAATAGCGCGATAGCGTAGGGGTTACGGCATAGGATTCGCAATCATAGGGTCCCCGGTTCGATCCCCAGCATCGGTAAAAAAATAAGCTTTTTCAGAGGTAATAACAGTAGAGATTCATTAAGAGAGGCGGCATANAGGGGTTACGGCATAGGATTCGCAATCATAGGGTCCCCGGTTCGATCCCCAGCATCGGTAAAAAAATAAGCTTTTTCAGAGGTAATAACAGTAGAGATTCATTAAGAGAGGCGACCTACGGTGAAAGAATAAAATTATCTCTTGTTTTGGATTAATTATCATAGATAATTTTTATTGATACTGACAGACAGGTCATCCGGTTTTCATACAGTTGACTTGATCAAGTTCGGATCCATTCCTCCTGATCAAATCCGGATTGGTCAGAGACGTAACATGTCTGATCAAGACCAGATCCGTCAACTTGATCAATACCTGATCAGTGGTCAGGTCTAACCTGATCCAAACTTGATCAAGACCTGACCGGAATTTTCACTCGGGTACGCGGGTATTGATAACAGTCAGCCTCGTATGGGCTGACCAGATCTGACCCTAGCTGATTCATGGGTTTGCTTTCGAAGTTTTGCAACAGGTCGTTGTAATTTTTCCAATTTTCCGAATGTCTGTGATTGCAAATTTTGATAAATTGTTCACATTTATGCTTTGACAGTATGGAACCGAAGCTCCAGTATCAGAGAAACCAATCGTTCCGCAAAATCACCCTGTGAAGTATCCATCGAAGGCTCACAAGCCTACTAAACACAACAAGAAAACCGCGGTTCCGATTGACGAGGATGAAGAAGAAGTTGAGGAAGAGGAGGAGGAAGAGAGCGAAGAAGAAGAACCATATAAAACAGATCGCGGCGGTCAAGTACCAAATCTCAACAATTTTTTCCCTATGGTATTTAGATTCCCAAGTTCTTACGGTCACAGGGGATCAGAATCTGATGGATCGCCTCCTGGAATGATCACGGCCATTGCTAACAGTTACTCAACGGGAAAGGGCGGTGTGGCTAGTTCTGTAGCTACGGCTTATGGAGGATCTTCGCATGGGTGAGAATCATCATTCAGAACTACGATATGATTGAAATATAAAAATACATAGCAAATTGAAAACTAAATTTTCTTTTCACTGCAGAAAGAAGAAACGTGCCAAGTCATCTCAGGAATAGAATTCAGAATTCTTCAACGTAAATAGAATTTTATTCAGTAATCGAGAGGCAGTGCGATAATTGATTTCTATAGAAAATGATGGTTTTTCGGAATTAAGTGACAATCAGTTTTAGTTGGAATGATTATGATTGAGCAATTGTTTCAAGTTTAATAAATAAGAATGTTATAATGAAAAGTTCAATTTCTGAATGCGTCATCCTACGTATATCTTTCAGGTAATAATATCGTTGTCGATACACCCTCGAGTAGTCAGACTGCTCAAACAAGAAAACAAGAAAGAAGGAAGGTCACGCGTATTTATTCATGTTGAAAGACATTAAGTGAGGGTAATCCCCAAAGCCTTGCTCGTCCGTTGACACTTCTATCTTACGGAATCGAGAGTCATGGTCAATTCATGTGTTGATCTTTCTCTCTCTTCTCGTGTATTTTAATGTCCTGCTATGGGTTCTCCGAATGAAGTGAGTGTAGACGTCACTGATGAAATAAAAAAAAATCCTTCAAAAAATTCAGTTAGCGAGATGAATCTAATTATAGTATTGGAAACACATATGAAGAGATGAAAAATTGCTCCACTCATCGAATATATCCGATCACATTGATGAACAAATTTGGTATTTGAAGAATTGATATTTCGGTAAACTACAGCGGTCTATTTTAGTCAATGAATTTTTCATTTTGAACTTTCCGATGAAGAAGCTATTGTTCTCGTCGAATGACAAGCATCTATGTGGGTTTATATACGGGTGAATGTAGGACTGCTTATTATCAAATTTTTCATCATCAATTTCCCACCAATCAATGAAGCAATCAAAGCGTCTGTGCGGATTATACATCAAAATGACTCAGCAGTTTCTTAATAATATGGATAACAAGTGCGAGAAAAAGTCATCGAATTATTGGTTTGGTCATTCTTCAGCAAAATTCAACCGGAACCTCAACGGTGGATACTTTCACTATTAGAAAAAAGTTGAAATTTTATGGACAGTCAACCAGCAATGTTTAGGAGAGTGATATTGTATCCGATTTAAGGCGAAAAAGGAATGAAATTTCAGATTACAATGACAATTCAGTGAAATTCTTAATTTTTGAACAGCATCGAGAAGAGAATTCCTCAACCTATTGGAATTTTTAATGAAATTATGAATATTCAGTGTCAAATTACGATGAATTTTGAATGAATTGAAAATTCCGTTTTCAAAGTTTTTCAAAACCATAATTTCTTAAAAAAGATTCGACTTTGTCAACGTTCCGGTTGAAAAATCAATCCAAAAATAATTCGTTCGAAAAGATATCGATCGATTTTCATAGATTAAATCCTGATTCATGACCCATTCATGATTTTTTTTTCAAGATTCTTACAAATTTTCACCTCGTTGGCGATGCCACATACTTGAATGACCGATGGGTGGGATTGACGAAGAAAAAACGATGGGTGGGAAAAATTGAGTTCAACATTAATAACGGGAGTTCTCGTACATCTATATGAGCATCATCTATATGGGTGTCTGAGAAAGTTTATAGCGATTGGTCTTCAATTTTGAAAAGAGGCAGATAAATTTAGTTATCCAGTTATCTATGATTTTTTCATGATAGAAAGTATTCCGCAACTGATCTGTGAATTGCGAGAAAACGGGATTATAAATTGAAGGATAATATTGAGTTTTGAACGAATTTATCTTTTATAAATTGCTCGAAGGATTTTCAATCCCAAAATAAAAGACATCCATTGCGATCATTACAATTATATAATCAAATTATTTCTTTTTATTTGAAGTTAAAGATTAATGATCTTATTCTTCTTATCTTCCTCTTCCTTCGAAAAAACCACGAATCATTGGAAGGTCGCCAGGTTCAAGAACACTGGCCTACGTGTCTGGCAATTAATTATTTTCGGCCCAGGGCAATCTTCTATCTAATTGACGTATGATGACGCATCCGAGTTAGACGAGGGATTTCCATGATTTTTGAGTACGCGTGTAGTAGAGCTCCTCTTCTCAAACCAACGAACAGTTTCTTGTCATAATCGGGGAATTTCATTGAACACGGAAATCAACATCTATTTGCATAAAAACTGTCATCGAATTTTATTAGCCGAGGATATGTAATCAAAGTCCTTGAGAAATTCCCACTTCCACAAGATAGGGATGTCAAAATCACCCATTCATAAATTGAATTACTCAGGTAAATATTTATGTCTTAATCTCTTCACCGGTGCGTCAGATGAAAAAAGAAGGGAATAAAAGACATACACATACGTGTCAGATGGTCTCTGAAAACGTCTATTGGGATATCCCAGGCAGGTTTGAAGGATTTCCATATAAAAGAGCGGGCAACACATCTTTTCACATCAGTTCTTCCTCGACGAAACAACAGCCCAGTTGTGAAGTACTGAACTTCCATCAGCCCAACAAAATGGATAAATTTCTGGTGATTACATTAGCTCTGATTATAGCTTGTGCATCAGCATATCCGGCCATCCAACCTGATGGAGCAGGTAATCAAATCTGTTTATTTGGAAACCAACTACAGAAGTAGGATAACTGTGATTGAGATGAGCACTTGAGTGAGAATGACATTTTTTAGATAGACGTATAAAATTCAATTAGATTTCTGAGCACTTTTCCTTGAAAAGTGTATAGAATTTCTAGTGAGATTCTCTTGAAATGCCGTTAGTTATTTTTCGATTTCGATAGAAAAAGTAGTATTTTCTCTGTAGTTCATTACAAATATTTACGCTACTTTCCAGTTGACTATAGTCAACTGAAACCCATGCGGTTACACGCACGTATCATATAAATATTTTATTGACCATTTCCTTCTTCACAATCTCAACCAATTGATTCGTTACATTCGGGGGAGTAACATCGTATTATTTCCATAATTTTCTGCAATACGTCTTTACGTACGGTAACTAAAAGAATATTCAAAAAAATTCATTTGGCCGAATTTCTGCCAAAAAAAACATAATCAACCGAATATTACTCGAGCTTCGAAATAAATTGGGTATTTTCCTCAAGGTGTAACAGAAAGCCATTGTTCCTCGGAATTTTCATACGAATTGTTTGCTCAAAGTTACTGATGTTTTTCGAAACTGAAGCACATTGACTCCAATAGATGATGACTTCACAATGTGTTAGAGCATTACCACAAAAATTATGGCGCCTCCATATAATTTTTCCGTCCTGACCTTCACTTTTCCCAGTCCGGGGATTGGTATTGACCCTTCCCCGAACTGGCAAAAGTGAAAGTCACTACGGAAAAATATCGTTCGCGCATAGTGTCACTGAGGTTTTCAACAAGTGTGATTGGCACGCCTCACCTTCGGCTCGGCGTGCCGACCTCACACTCGTCAAAAACCCCAGTGACACTCGACGCGAAATATACTATTTCCGATACTGTGAGAACACCAATTAAAAACGGCTCGATGTAGGGGAAATGCATAATTGGTAAATCATTGAGTTAAACACTGTACTAATGTGAAATTCTGCTCTTGCGACCATTGCAGATGGAGAAGATAGAAATGTAAGAGTGATTAGATCGCCTGATCCAGATCCCCACCACCACCATCATCATCATCATCACGGAGAATACGATGATTACGGTGATGGTTACGATGGTCACCACCACCATGACCACTATGGCGGCCATGATCACTATGGCGGCCATGGCCACTATGGCGGCCATGACCACTATGGCGGCCATGGTGGTTATGGCGGATATCATCAGGGCTACCCTGGACAATATGGAGCACAATATGGTTATGGGAACCAGGGCTATGGAGGATACAATGGACATCCTCAGAATAATGGAAACTCTCAGTCTGCTGCCAATGCAAACTCCGGTTCTTTCAACACTCCGTTCGGCAGTGCGTCGTTCGCCAGCGCTAACGCTAACGCTGGGTAATGTATTTTTTTCGTTTATTTACAATTTTTTTCTGTATTCATCATTAAATGTGGTGAACTAGAGACGCATAAGTTTTTTCCGAGAGACGACTATTAATTTTTTTCTTTTCCTTCTACTGACAGGTATGGCAATGGAGGATACTTCGGATAATGTCTTGTCTGATTGATGATCAAATTTTGAACTCGTCAGCATTTACCAACTTGATGGAATCTAGCAAAATCGTCCACTTTCACAATGAAAATGGGCAATCGCAGAATGCTCAAGGAACTTTGGATCCAATGTAAATTACTGTTAATTTATTTACTTTAATAAAAAAAAATGAAACGGATAATTTTTTACAAATCAAATATTGTCCCTCGCTCATCGATAAGTGCTTCGAGAACTATTTTCGAAATGAGTCCCTTTTTGATCATTAATTATTTTTAGATGAAATTAAAACATAAATAATCAACAATAGAACTATGAAAATTCAGAGGAACTCCCATGTGACGATCCAAGCTATATCGACTGTCAAGCTTCATGAACACAAAATTGGATAATTGACAACAAATGAGTTGTCGGACATCAGTTAAATTGTTTGCTAAATTATCAAAAAATCAATACACAATAGTTTTAACGATGGATTCGAATATATGAATACTAATTTGATTGAGAAAACCCCAGTAGAATGCAGTAGAACCCCGTTATAAGAGCGCGCCAGGGGGTGTAGGAGTAGCCGAATCGGCGAAAGCGCTTATATTTCGTTACCCCCACCATGCGCTCAGTGGCAACCTCAGTTCTCGGAACTCCCAGCGAAAATAGAGGAATAAGAAATAAACACTTTGAGTATTTTTCAAGTTTTATATATAGATATTTTCGCTAAATAATTTTTTTATTATTTACTGAATTTTTAACAATGTTCTTTTTCATGAACATGAATATAAATTTGTTCACCAACTTGAAAACAACTTTTTTCGTGCTATAAAAATATTTAAAGACCCATTTTTTTCATAAAAATGTTTTCCTATATTTTAATTAACAATTGGATTAAAAAATAATCTGACCAACATTTTTTTTATTGACAGTACTCTTCAATAAATAATAAACGATGGACTTTTATTAAAGTTTACTTTAAGTGTTTCCTAACTTGTTCCCGTGATGGTCGAGTGTGAACTGAATGCATTTTTCAAAAATTTCACTGCCAGAATATTTCACATTTGTGGTCTCCTGGAAATACAAAACAATAGGGCACCCGAGTTAACATCGATATGTTTACGTTCGGGAGTCGAGAGTGTTAGGGAGTGGGGGAAGCCTTCACGCTGGCGAAAAAGCGATTGAGGAGAAGTGGGCTTATATCGGGGCTCCTTATAACGGGGTTCTATTGTATTGAAAAAAATAATGTGACAAATAGAAAATATAGTTTAGTAGGCAACTATATAAATTCTTACAGTTTGGTTTGACACTGATTCTCTTTGGCAATACTCAAATTAATCGATCACAGTGAAAGTGGTAATTATGCACTACTAGTAATCATAATCATAATCACATTTTAATAAAGTAATTCTATTAATTAATGAACGTAATTGTAGCGACATAATACACTCTATTTATGCAATAGTAAGATACTTCCATCACTTTTTTTTTGTTTAACCACCTTTTTATTAAGAAAAGTCATTATTTACAATAGTGATTATTTACAATATGTACGTACCTTAAAAACTAGGATCAAAAAACTTCTATTAATAATATTTCACAAAATGCATAATCTTTAGTCAGGAGTGACTCTCGAGTTCATTTAGTATTGTAACACGTATAAAAAAAATGCTATAGGATTTCCTATCAGATTTATGACCCTAATCCTGACCCTTGTGACCGATTGGTTTCGAGTCTCAATTTTGTGTTACTTTAGTCCTATAGAAAATCCTATAGGAAATCCTATAGAAAATCCTATAGGAAATGTTCGTATTATCCTATATCTCGAAACATATGGGAATTCTATAGGATTTTTTCATATATGAGGATTTGATATTTCAAACAACAGTGTATTTCTGCTTGAGATTAATGCGGTAATTCTTGGAATTAGTGTCAACTCATTTTCTGGTACTTAACAAAAATTATTTGAGTTCGCATGGGTGTAAGACAAAAGCACAACAGTATTCGCAAAAAAACTAGTTCCATTACCCAGGGATGTTGGACCAATTTATGCTAAGACTGGACAATCAAATTTTTTTTTCTAGATATTTACTGCCAAATACCCCCTCCACTGATTTCCCACTTTGTCGTTAGTGAGGGGACTCGGTCGCGGGTGGTGGGGGTCTTAAGGACTACTGCCGCCCGCCGTCGCTAAGAGGAACCCACCCAATCCATGTGTGTGAGCGGCGTAAGCCATGGCCTCGGCCATACCGTGCCTAAGGATGCGTAGCACAGGGGGAGCTGTGTCGCTAACGGTGCCTCTCAGAAACCTGGGCGACCTCTGAGAGTAGTCTTGGGTGTAACCCTCCCGAGACAAGCTAAGCCCTGGGCAATCGCGGCAATGCACCAATGAAAACGCTTAACCGCGGTACTCGTGGGACCAAAAATGGAAACCAATCTAAAAAATCTCAGTATTGAAAAAGAAACTTCGGGTGGGGCCAGCGATGGCGAACACACGAAGTCTGACAAGGCTGACCAGTCTGGTGCCGATGTGAATCGGGTCAGACTGAGTGGAGCCGAGAGAAGTCGTCGCAAGAGAGCGAAGCTGCATCAAACCTCGGGGGCAATTGCAACCTTGGCGGATGCAGCAGCGAAGGTCGATGAGGGGAAGGGGGAGGGGGCTGTGAGGAAGGCAATAAAACGCCTTGCATCGGAGCGTACCACGCCAAGCCCCTCTGTCAGACCGAAAGAAAAGAGAATGAGAACGCAGGATCAGGGCACATATGCTCAGAATACTGCGAGCTC